ACCCCCTTCTTAGGCCTTTGCTAACTAGTCTTTGATCTTGTATGAACATTTCTGATCAGTCCAGACAAGGTGCTGTAGAACATAGAAAAGGAATGTGAACCTGCAGACAGGGCTACATAGCTCATAGAGTTTCCAAAGGGGAGGGCTTGCTCTCCAGGGAGTTCTCATATTGGCAGTGTGGACGAAAAAACATAATTAGAGGTATGCATGCTATTTACTTGGGCTAACCATTTCAGATGTTTCCTATCCAAATTGATTTCTTTACGGACTAAACTTATAATACCAAGGTGCACATATTTGTCATCCCAAACTCTCTCAAGTAGTAGCATTTGTGAGCTACATCTTATACTGCTATAGTCATACATATGTAAAGCTTCTAGACCTGTTCACGCTCTTTAGTCAATCTGTTTAAATGTTTGTCAGAAGGAGTGCTTGATTTTGAAATCCACAATTAATCTACTATAGTTGAGTGGCTGGCTGATTGGCCTTGTACAGTGTTTTCAAGCAATGGCAACATCATCAGCCCCTCTAAGGGACATCCTCAAAATCCTGTATTTTAACACTGGGAACCATAAGCAAGGCAAAAATTTTGCACTCTTGAACAGCAAGACCGAGTCTGGCATCCTCTTTCTGCTTCAGCATACTCAATATTTAAGTACCATATATACTCATATTTAGTCAGCTTTGTGTATAAGACGAGGGCAGGTTTTGGGGCCTGAGTTGTGGATTTTATAGGATCCATGGATAAGCTGAGGATCATTCCATGAAGGTACCCCTGACCATCACCACCACTATTTCTCCACCCATCCATTCAAAAAGGCCAGAAATGGCATCACGGCAATGGAGATGGTAGAGAGGCCTCTTTAGGTTTCTTTTAGGACAGACTACGCTCTTGCCTATCACCCCTTTACTCAAAGAAGGGGAGCCCTCACCACCACCACCACCACCCTTTAAAAGAAGAGTTAAGCTATAGTAGTCATATTGATCCATGGATAAGTTGAACCAGGGTTTTTTGGGTTGATTTTTTGACTAAGATTTCCAGACTTATCCATGAGTATGTAGGATACTTTGTTTATACCATACCAACAGTGTAAAGTTTAGGAAGATAGAGATCTCTGACAGTCATCTTCCAGTTCCCGGTGTTCTGGGTTTTTCTTAAAATAAAAATTTAAAAAACAGAAATAGATATTTATCATAATCATAGTCAGAAATAGAAGTTTTTTATTTTTGGTAAAAAAAAAAATAAGTGAATAGAAATTTGGAAATGACTGCATGGTCTCCATAGCTGGTGCCCACATTTTTCTAGTCCATTCTGACCCTGTCCAAGTTAGCAGCTATCACTTGTTGTAGTGAATTCCACAACTGACCTCTGTTAATGTGTACATATGCTATAAAACTGTGGTTGGCATACCACCACTTTAGCAACTGTATAATATGAATGTAGCTGAAAAACAGAATGACTGCAGTTCTACATACTCATATGTATGTGTGCACTTTCAAGTTGCCTGTCAACTCACTGCAACACCATGAAGGGTTTTCCTATGCCCTAACTACACTGCCATTTAATCCAGTGTATTTGACTAGTGCATCCACATGGAAAGCATTTTCAATTAATGTTTATGTTTTATTGTATTTGTATTTGTTTATTTTTCTTCATTTTTACTGTTTTATATTACATGTTGGTGCACTGTCATCTTTGAAAGAAGAAATGATTTACATAAAATAAAGTATATAGTAGGTGGGGGAAAGGACAGATTCAAGCAGAACTGATTCAAGCAATATGGAATTACCCAAATCTTAGGTCAGCAGCAAAACATTAAAAGATTAATGTTTTTCACATCTGTAGGCTGAAAAGATTTGGATTCATGATAGCTTCATCCGGTCTAGTGCCAGCTCAGCTATACCTTTGTGATATTTATGTGATAGTATTATGCTGCATTAAAGGTGGATAGACTCAATCAAGGAGTCACAACTCTGAGTTTGTAAGATCTTAGTAAGGCTATTAATCATAGGGTCTCTTTAAGATCTCTCATTCATAGGGCCATAATTTGAAGCCAGCTTGACGGTGAATAATAACAATTACACTCTTAAGGACGATAATTCTGAAATAAATGTCATGCACTAACCACTTGCCCAGATCACCTCCTCACCCCACTAAAAGTTTTCCTGTGGATATTATGATCCCTGTTGAAAGTTAAAATATTTTTGTCAATCCTCCTGATGGGAAGGAATGCATATTTTTTCGATACATGAGAAACTTCATTACATGGAATAGCTACTTTACAGTAGAAGCTATGTGTGGTTCTTCTAATAAATTATATATCATCAAAATATATCTTAAAATTAGAATTTACAGCTATCTACATTTGTATGAGGGAATATTAATGCTACTTACATTACATGAAAGGCTTGATCAGTTTGTAACAGGGAATGTTGAGAATCTTAGAGAATGGTGCTTCTTCTTCGTAGTCTCCATGAATCACACAATTGGGTTATCCTGTACCTGCGCAGTACCTTAACAGAATTTCCAAAAGCTTTACCAGTTTGAATTTTGGTGGTAACTTTGACCCCTCACTCCTGAGCGTAAAAGTGCTCACTCACCAGCAGGCTCCTCAGTTCCTTTTTGTCCGCCGCTGCAATTAGTAGCTCTTCGGATCAAATAGCTTTCACCTCCACTGCATGTTTTTCGCAGTTCTCTACAATCATGCTGATGTCTCTCTTCAACAAGTCAACCATAAGGTTTAAGCGGTGCAATCAGTGCAATAACAAGATGCCAGACTCAGGTGGATATTCTAAATGTCAACATAGTAGTTTCTTGCTCCCATTGCCACAGACTTTTACATCTCAGATAAGAAAGAACAGGGAGACAAAACTGTGCTCCCTTCTATACCAGTCAGCATTGGAGCCTTCGGTACAGCCTTCCACTTTGAGAGTTCCTTCATCAGTGTTGAAGGCAAAGTTAAAAGCCATCTTGTCAAAGTTGAAACTGACCCTATCAGTTTCCTCCTTCAGTGCTATGAACTCCATCCCCAACACCATCCATGTTGGAGATACTGCCATCATCATCATTGATGAGCATCGGATACTCCCCTTTACTCGTTCCCCCTAACCCAGGAAAGGGGTATGAGGCAGAATTAAAGAAAAGGGAGGAAGTGAAAAGGAGGATACCCCTCAACCACCTCCGTTATCTTCTAATGATGAATCTCCCCCCTCCACTGTCTGTTGCCTCCTCTCTGTTTCCAGGGCTAGTATATCTCTGTCAATGACACAGCCATCTCCCTTGCCACCTCTACACATCAAACTTTTAGAAGGTAAGGCCCTGGACCCTCTCACCGCAACACTAGAGGCAGCATTCACATCGTGCCATTACCAACTATTCCAAGCACAATAAAGGAGTCAATTTTGTTTTGCTCATCCCTGGGTCAAAACTTTTCTACAAGATTTTAAAAAGCTTCACACACACACACAGCACCACCAACCCCAGGTTGGAGCCTGGGATTTCTTCTGTCACAACAATCAAGGCCACCATTTAAATCCACAGAAGGCCATTTTCCTGGAGCTCTTCTCTCACATCGGAGAGAAGAGCTTCAGAACTTTCTGCCCTTTGGTGTATCCCTTACCTGATCTTCCACTCGGACAGAGACATAACTTTTTTGCCTAATGTGGTTTTATCATTCCATTTAAACCCCAAGACATTGTTCTTCTGGTATTGCCCCAGAAACCTGATAATTTTCTCGATCACAGATTACACTCCTGAGACATTCGCAGGGTCCTGCTTTGCTACCAATATCACACCAAAACCTTTAGACCAGAGTTTCTCAAACTGTGCTTCTCAAGATGTTTTGGACTTCAGCTCCCACAATTCTTAACAGCTGGTAAGCTGGCTGGGATTTCTGGGAGCTGGAGTCCAAAACACCTGGAGGAGCACAGTTTGAGAAACATTGCTTTAGACAACCTAATAGACTTTCTCTGGTATGCTGCCCTCAGTCTCATGGCAATTGTATCGTCTCAGAGACTGTCAAAGCGGATAGCCTCCACTATCGAACTCTGTTACAACCTTGTCAAAAGGGTCAGCCGTATGTCCCCATTCCACCAGGGCAGTTGCAGCTTCTACTGTCTTTCTTAAAGGCGTTCCTTTGGATTGTATATGTTCAGTTGCCATTTGGGCAAACCTCTTTTAACCTTTGTATCCCAATTGTAGATTTTATGCTCCGTCATCTAAGGCAGTGGTTCCCAACCTTTGGTCCTCCAGGTATTTTGGATTTAAGCTCCCACAATTCCTAAGATGGTAAGATGGCTGGGATTTCTGGGAACTGAAATCCAAAACAACTGGAGGACCAAAGGTTGGGAACCACTGATCTAAGGACACAGCATTCAGTTGCTTGGTACCCCTTACTTGTGTTTATGCCCCAGGAGAGATGGGGTGGGGTTTCAGCCAAAATCCAAACCACTAAAGCTTTTGGAAATTCCATAAGGGTGCTACGGAGGTGCAGTATAACCCAGTTGTGTGAATTCATGGATGACCTCTCGAAGAAACACAGTTACAGGTAAGCAACAGTTCCCTTTCAGTATTTGATTATCTCTTAAATCATATACTAGATGCAGAACTGCAGCTTACAATGTATTTAATGTACCCACAATTGCTTGTTGCACATTAAATATAGTCTATTCAAATAACTTACCATGACCATAGTAAGAGTTGGCATTCAGTGTAACAAATTAATGTCAGCTTTGTTGTCTTCTATGAGACTTTGACATTTGTAGGAATCATGGTTATTTTTAATCACAAATAATTAAAACTAAAAAAGTTGTAAAGGTTTTGTTGATCTTTATGTCAAAATTGCTATATTTACAATAGTTCTTGCAGATTCAATTCACTGTTATGACAGACAGTTTGATACTTTTTTATCCTGTACCACCTGAATTTTGTTCTTCCATTATTCATGTCTTCAATGGGATTATGATATCATTCATTCTTGTTGTTTATTTCCTGCTTATAGCTACCTTAATGACTTGGACCGCATAGCTGGTTCTGGCTACCTGCCAACCCAACAAGATGTGCTTAGAGTTCGAGTTCCGACTACAGGAATCATTGAATATCCATTTGACTTACAAAGTGTCATTTTCAGGTAGACAAAAGATTTTTTCTAATTTTGATCATAAGGGAAACAAGTCTAGTTTCTTTGCTATTAACCTGATGCAATTAATGTAAATTTGTATTTGATATTTTCTCCCTTCTTTTTGTTTTCTTTTTCTTTTTAAAGAGAAAAGTTGTAAATTTAAGTAAAGTGTTTTCACATCAACATAATTACCTACTTTGAACTCGATGAACTGGCTGCATGTTATTCAGAGTTATAGAATGGAGAGGAGAGTGATTTGCATTTATGCAGAACTAAACTATAAACTGTACTCAAACACCTTTTTTAAAATGTAAAGTCACTTCTTCTCATATGTAATTTTGAATTCATTCAATGGATTGCATTCACTAACCAGGAGCTAAAAACTATCTACAGATAACTTTTTGTTGAATAGAAATCAATGTATTTTATGCATTTTACTGCCTTATTATGCTGTCATTAACTTAGCCTGTTTAACATATTTCAAAAATTATCATAATCAGTTTGAAAAGGAACAGACTGTTTATCATGTCAAGAAGATTTCATCATTGAATCTTTTTAACTTCAGTTATAATTAGCTATAATGTGTTTATAGGATCTTCTACAAGCCCTTTTTACTTGAATTAAAAGTAACGGATATGGCCCTGTGCGAGCCGCGGGCATATTTCTTCCTCATTTATATGTGGTACTCTAATATTTCTCATTAAAATTGAAATTTCATTGAATGCAGCAGTCATTCTAATAACCTACTGTAGACATACTCAGGGTTTGTTTTATGAATTCAAGTTCGGGAACTGTGACATTTGTCCATAATGATCTTCCACTAACTCTATCTCAATATTTATTTCTTGCTCATTTAGAGTGTTTTTAAATAGAATGGGTAAAATCAGGCATGTTAGTTAATAACTATTTTTAATGGTATGCTTGACATAACATATTAATTCATCACTGTTGCAGTGTTCACAGGTAACATTAAACCATGCTCCAGCTCATGTGGTTCTATAAACTACATTATAATGGTCATCATAGACTCAGATAATCCAGATTGAGTCTGCAGTGTCATACAATCAAGTTCAATGCTGTTAATCTAAGTTCTGAAACTAGATTATATGGCAGTGTAGATGGGGCCTTGGTCTCATTATTCATCTAGTGCAGAGTTTCTCAATCTGTACTCCACTAGATGTTTTGGGCCTAAGCTTCCACAGTTCCTTGGATTTCTGGAAGCTGAAGTCCAAAACACCTAGAGGAGCACAGTTTGAGAAACGCTGCTCTACTGCAACTACAGTGTGTCCAGAAGCATGATCTTATGTTTTAGACTGACCATAACTTGGTGTAATGTCCACACCAGACAGACTGTTGTTAATCTTAACTCTAGTTAAGAGTTGAGATTAACCTCAAACTAATAAATGACACTGACTTTTTTATTCAACTGAAATTAAAATTAAACAGAGTTTAGGCTTCAGAAGTCCCTTCAATTATGGTTAATCAAAAGAAACTGATACCTCTTATAGCTGATTCAGAGGAAAGTGTGAGTTTCTATAGCTTACTCAGGCCTGTGCTTTTTACGTGTCATTTGCAAATACAGCCACAAATTAAATATGTGGGTGCCATGACATACTGATTTTCTGTCTTTTGTATATTAACATCTTTATCTCCCAGATTTCGTTTTAAAGAAGATATGAAAAGCATCCAAAACAGTTGTCAATTTCTGGTGTGAAATATACCTAATAGTTCAGATATTTTCCATAAGCATTATTCATGGTAGAAGAGATGCCCACACCACACCTTTTTTGCCTACCAGTTCTTAAAGCCATAAGGCAGCACCACACAATCAATATACTATTTCTGAATTTCTAATTAAGAACATTATTTATTTTTTATATACGTATGTATATCCTGACCTTTCCCCGCTGAGTTTAAGGAAAGACATATGACACCTCTCTTTATTTTTCTATAACCCTGAGAGGTAGATCAAGCAGAGAAAGAATGAATTCCATGCCATTCCAAATCCCAGTGCAGTCTTCTGACTGCTAGCCCAAAATGGCTATTACATTTTTAATTGATAGACTGCCTGCCTAGTTAATCTGGTCCCTCTTTTTCACTTGCTCATAAAACAGAATGGATAGTAGGATTTATACGTGTTGCCTATTTAAATATGAAAGAATAGGTGATTGGATCACATTAATGTCAGGAATGCACTATGATAGAAATATGATGTAGTATTCAGTATATAAGCACTATTTAATACATGTTTGTTTTTTGACCTGTAATCATTTTGCTGCTATTGCAGAATGGTGGATGTGGGGGGACAGCGATCAGAACGAAGAAAATGGATACACTGCTTTGAAAATGTCACCTCCATTATGTTTCTAGTAGCCCTTAGTGAATACGATCAAGTACTTGTGGAGTCAGACAATGAGGTAAGTAAAGATTAGAAATGTACTCTTAAGCATGCATATATGTAAACAAGTTCTGCTCCCATTACATGATATGATTTAATAGGTATTAAACAGCCATCAGGTTTGGGAATGTCTAATGCAAAAATACTGGGATTTCAAAACAAAATTAAATTGATTTTTTTCATGCTTGGGTCCTTTGCATACACTTCTTTCACATTAGCAAAAAATAACATTTTGAGTTTTAAAAAGTCTCTCAACAGAAGGAAATCTGAAAACAAACTTAAGCATCAAACTTCATCCCTTAGTATCACTTACACAAGCTTGTGGTATAGTATAATCCTGTTGTGCATCTGTTTGATCTTCTAATCTCTTAATTAAGAGATTTGATTGAACAATACACTACTTTGTTCCTTCTTCAGTATTTGACTGAATAAATATTATGGGAAGAGGAAATCCGAGCTTTGTTTAAAACAACAAGGAAATTGCCTTGCCAATCTCTCTGTGTATATGTGTCCGCAAAAATTTCTTTCTGACTCCGGTTTGGAAGTTCGTTGAAGTGTGAGTAATTGTTTTCCTGATGTTAATGACAGCATAATTGATTTATTTCAGTTTATGCTGCCTCCTATATCAATAGGAAGCTGATATGAGAATTTTTATAGGCCTTTATCTTTTATATTATCTGGGAGGAAGGCATCATTCAACAGTAGGGGTTTTTGTAAGGTCCTAAATCTAATCCCAATATCTACTTTAGGTAGGATAGATGTTTGAGTTGGTGTGGTGCAGTGTTTGAGTGTTGGTCTAAAATATGGGAGACCCATGGCTTTTGTCTATACAAAAATATGATTTTCTAGTTGAATTTTTTAAAAAGAGAAATAAAATTATTTGATTTGTATTGTGTCTTTCTTCCACAGAGCTCAAAGTAGATTATATTATTTTCCTCACAAAAAGTCTACAGATAGTGTTGTAATTTAGGCTGAGACCACTCATTCAGCTTCATGGCTGGATGAGAATTTCAACCCAAATTTCCCAAGCTCTAGCCCAATCAAGCTAAGGAGCTTGATTGTGTGGTTTTAATAACTGGTTTTAATGCTTATATTGTTTTTAATTTTATATTTTTTAATGTATATGCTTACTTTATTATTTGTTGCTTGATAAGGCATCAAATTGTTGCCTATTGTAAGGCCCCTCTGAGTCCCCTTCGGGGTGAAAAGGGCGGGGTACAAATACAGTAAATAATAAAGCATTTGTTGCCCAAAACTATGATTACAGCTGTGAATCCAGCATTTCTAATAATGGGAACCCATAGGCAGCATTGTGGCTTGGCTGAGGTTATACTTACCCACTGTACCTTCTGGATCAAAAGTAAAATTGCGTCAGGACTTTACCCTGCAGTGTTCCTAGCACCATTTCCTTTTTAATGCACCTCAAGTCTTCCTGTCCGTATAATAAATATTCTATCGGAGTATTTTATTCTTTTCTGTTGACCTACTTTGGTGTATTGGCCACTGATATTAATGTGACAGACCATGTAACGTAGATACACAAAGAAAGTGACTGTTTCAAAAACTATAAGAGATAAATCTTTTACTGGGTCATAGTCATCTTTTGAGCAACTGAATGATTTTTCATAGGCAGAATGTCAGACACATTCCATCTAAGACGCAATAGTAAATTGCTAGTTGGTTCACACTGAGATATTTCTTTGGAAAACATATGCTAAATAACATCCTTTAGTGGGATATTTACCCTAAGACTTTGGTATTAACTATTTAAGGAGCCCCCGGTGGCGCAGTGGGTTAAAGCACTGAGCCGCTGAGCTTGTTGATCGAAAGGTCGCAGGTTCGATTCCGGGGAGCGGCGTGAGCTTCCGCTGTCAGCCCTAGCTTCTGCCAACCTAGCAGTTCAAAAACATGCAAATGTGAGTAGATCAATAGGTACCGCTCCGGCGGGAAGGTAACGGCGCTCCATGCAGTCATGCCGGCCACATGACCTTGGAGGTGTCTACGGACAACGCTGGCTCTTCGGCTTAGAATGGAGATGAGCACCACACCCCAGAGTCAGACATGACTGGACTTAATGTCAGGGGACTATCTTTACCTTATTTAAGACAACCTGAATCATTTTCATATAGTACATAAAGTCTATCACTTTAAGAGAGATAGGTCAACAAAGGCATCATGAGAAACAACATAAGAAAAGCTATATGCTTCAGATTTTTGTGTATAAGTGTATGGTATTTTGGTGGATGAGCACAGAAATTGAAAAAATGTGACTTGAAAAATTTCAGATGTGAACATAGTAAAGAAAAATACTAACAGCTAAAGGCTGTTGTAGATACGGCAACTTGATATGACTTCCCACATATTTGCATTGATTCAGGTTGCAAAGAATATGAATGTGACTATTTGTTGGTAAATCATAAAAAATCAATAGAAGCATTGTGATAAAAATATTTATAACATTCAAATCGCTCTACCAAGCCTGCCTAGTTCTGATTCCCAGTCTTCAATGTAGTTAGGAGAAACATTGATGGTTTTTCTTGATAGGTCAGCATAACATGAGGTGACAAGCATATTTAGTATATATTTTGCTTCTCATGTTATACTACCACATCATTAAAGTGCATCAATGTTTCTGCCATTCATCTGGGAATAGATAACAAATCAGAGTGTATATTTAGTTTATATTATTGAACACTAGATGGTACTATAATCCTTTGTCTGGATAGAAATTAGCGAGTTTGTCTCTTTTCAGACTCATAGTTTAATGTGACTAAATAAATTAATCCTATTAATGTTAGTAATCATGACTGCAGAGATCAGTGGAACAGCAGCTGCTTCCACCTCATTCCACTTCTTTTCCCCTATTTTCTGTGTTCATGTGCTTATGTTCCTTGACAGTTTTACTCAGAACTATAGGCAAAAATTTCATCATTTACAGTAGTTCAATGCAAATTGGATGAGAGCCCAGTGGATTAAGTTACACTCTTGGGAAGGAAAACTAAATATAAAAAACTACCAGATGTTACTGTTCTAATAGAATATTAATAAAATGGTATTTAAAACCTGAGAAAATAAATAGCAATCTAGGTCTTTGAGTAGAGATGCACTTAATATCTTCTAGATCAAAGTATCTAGAACCCTTTTCTGCCTGAAAAAAATGTTGTAAAGCAATGCAGAATAATCACAGGGTGTCTCAAACCTACACTTGTTGATAGACTCCATAAGCTAGCTGGCATTGTCCCCCCTGATGTGCGATGGGAAGTTGCTGTCAACTGTGAGAGAAATAAGGTTGAACACTGTGGAAACCATCCACTGCATAGCTATCAGCCTCCTCCCAGTAGAAGCAAATCAAGGAAAAGTTTTATGAGAACCACCACTCCTCATAATGTTCCAACAGCAAGAGTATCCCTCTGGGTAGCTGAACCAGGAATCCCAACTGGATGTCGTCGTCATCGTCCCGCCCCCCTCCCCCCACTAGGGACTTCCTCCAGGAGAAAACCCAGAATGGGCAACTTGGAAGTCCCTGAACGGACTCAGAAGTGGAGTTGGCAGATCAAAATACAACATGGCTAAATGCTACCTAGAATAATCCTCTACCTTGTGCAACTGTGAAGCAGAACATACAACTCAGCATCTGTATGCTCTCCCACAGTTCCCTGCCTCATGCACAGAGGAAGAATTGTTTAAAGCTACAGACAGTGCGGTCGCTGTTGCCTGTTTTTGGTCTAAAATTATTTAGCCACTTGTGTTCCCTGTATTTAACAATTTTATACTAATTTATCCATGCTATGCTTTTGACACGAAATAAATTCCAGACTTTACAGGCGTCATCCAAGGTACTGAAGCCTATGTCAAAATAGCTTCAGAACACTGGGTAGACCCTTTATGTCTAGACTGGACTAAAGCCTTTTGACACAAAATAAATCTGCCTGAAAAAAAATTGACCCCTTTTCACCTGAGAAATTTGTATGTGGCTCCAAATATATAGGCATAAAACATAGGTATAAAAATCAAACATGCATTGATCAGCATCTGAAAGGCTTGCTAAACAGGCTGGTTTTTCCTTTTATGAAGTACAACTGAAGTGTTTTCTGTAGAGTCCACTGTAAACACTGCACATGGTTGCTAACTGACTTGTTACCAAATTTTTGCGATCCCCAAGATTGAGCTGGGGTTGGGACCCACAGTTTAATAAACTTTGTTCATGTCAGTGGGTAACTGTTGGAGGCTAGGAGGCTGGGGAAATTTCCCCATAATTTTTTAAATAGCACATGTGTTCAAGGGGATGTGGGGGTCGTTTTTGCCACACTTTAGGGGCCTCTAGGCCATTATAGGTCCAAGAAATGCCTTTTAAATGGCAGGCAGTGACATGGGGATCACTTGTTTAACTTTGGTGTGCGGGGTCACAAAAATAGCCCTGGACTGCGCTTTGCCCATTGCTGTTTTAGGTGTTATTGGGCTGCTACATTTTAAGGATTAAATATTTTATGCTTTCACAGAATCAACTGCAGAAACCCCCAGCCCTTTTCTTCTTATTATTCTTGTAGCAAATCCCAAAACATTCTCATATTGGGAATTTTTTTTTTATTCAACCAAAACTGTGCCTGTGTTATATTTTCCTCAATATTTCCCTTTCTTCTTTACACAGAGGAAAAGAGAGTAGAGATTTCTTGACATTTGGGATTTTCTTGGACAATTCAATGTGAATTTGGTTCAGTAATCCTCTTTATTGTACAGAGCTTCCTGCCATCATAGGCAACAGATGCAGTCTCTTCTGCCTGGATTAGGAACAAGTTCAGCAACAACCTTGCCTTCCCCATTTTTAAAAAAATTGTCTAGCAGCCTTTAGGCTGAAGCCTGTAATGCCTCTGTTTCTGGTAGCTGGCATAGGAAGAAATACACTGAAAGCCTTTATTCGTGGAATTATTTCATTAGTTCCAAGTATCTGTTGAAAACATGACTTTCATATCAGAAAAAAACAAGCAAGCAATATACAAGCATGGTGACGTCATTGTGATT